AAAAAAAAAAAAACTAACATACATATATATATATATATATAGTTTGATTAATTAATATGGAAACAAAAAAGATAACCGAAAAAAGTACCGAACGGGACCAACGATATATAAATGTGGCTGACTTCTATATATATATATATTTATACAATATGCATATCATACCATTTTTTTAATATGAAAAAAAAAATATTTATAATGACCTAATTGGGCAATACATTTAATTAAAAACATATTATATTGAACCGAAAAAAGTTGGATAAGATTAATAACATATACACATACCCAAGACTTTATCCATCTCTTTATTATAGCTACCCACAATTGTGGCATGTCTCATGAGAAGGACAAATTAATTAACGTTCTATTTTTTTGACGTGAATTTATGAGACAAAGGAATTAAATTAATTAATGAAAAAAAATAAACATTGTACGTTTTGTACTAAAAAATTGATGCAATAAATGATTCATATATGACATATGGTGTTTGTAAGTTAATGTAGCACCAAAAATAACTTGGTGGACAGGTATATATGACCGGTTAGCTCGGATAAGGCCGATCTAAAGGAGCTTGAAGTCTAATTTATGTGACACACGATATTAGTTTAAGATATTCATGAAAGTTGGTGTATATCTACGGTCATTGAGAACATCAAAATTCTAATAAGGAAACTTATTATCTTGGGGAGTAAGTCATTAAACCCCTTATAAATAAGGGACCAGGTTCATTTTTTTATCCTAAGCTCTTAAGACTACTTAAGATACACGATAAAATTATTTGTTTTCTGACTTGAGTATCGGAGTGTCTACGTCGGGCCCTGGCGCTTTGCAGGTCGATCCGATTCTTGAAGACGAAGGTGATCGAGAAGTCAAAACTCTTAGGCAATTGATGTGAGGCGATTCGACCGACAACCTCAGTAAGTCGGTTATTTCCGCACATCATAACTTGTGAAATTTATTGAGACTTGGTCTCGAAATGTGAATAAATAAAAGCGTGGGTATAAAGAAGTCAAGTACATTGCCCATGGATTTAGGTTCACCAAAATTTTCATATATAGATAATTAATTGGTAAACAAAACTAGAAGACTCATTATTTTCAACAAGATATATATCATCAGGACTTAGGTAGCATGTCATGTCACTTTTTTTTATTTATTTTATTTATTTATTTTCATTTTTCACCTTCACTTTTGAGGAAAACATTAATTATTAAAAAATTTCACACTAGCCCAATTGATTTAGATGAAAAGGTGAAAAGTTCGTATGTCGGTAAGAAATATTACTGTAGTGTTGCATGTATTAATTAATGAACACACATGAGCAACAAATTATGTGGAAATTAATGCTACGGTCTCGTTACGAAATCATTCTATCGGGATTTATAACCGTTAGATCAACTATCTCCGACGATGATCTAACGGTTATAAAACCCGACAAAATGGTTCGTAACGGGACTATAACATCTCCCCAAATTCTGTCTTAAATTAATAATATGATTAATTAATTAATCAATTAATTAGTTAGGTCACCCAAAAGAAGATGGAAAAGTTGTAATTTCAATTACCACAATTTTAATTTTCTTTTTTTTTTTTCTTTTGGAAGATTACATATGAATGATGCAAATATAATGCTCATCATCATGTCTAGTTACATGATTAATTCTCCGTTTTCTCGATCTTGAATTAGTATATTCTCTCATGTCCGTACAAAAAACAATTAAACATCACTATATATATATATCTCTTGGCAAATCATTTTTTCCAAGAGTACGTATTTTTATTTCAATGTAAATTAAACATATAAAATGAAGTTAATTAGATCCCTATGTCCAAAGCGGCTCCCACGCGACTCCCAAAAGGCTCTCGTCCAAGAAAAGAGCCGAGTTTTCTATGTATGGAGCGAAAACGGCCGGTTCTTGTGGCGATAGTTCCTGGATTTGACGATTTTCGGTTACCGCAGGATGATTCTTATTAGAGAATATCAACTCGATCAATGTTGCATTTTGGCATTGGAAATTCAGGATTTCGGCATGCGCCTTAGCCAGCTCGGCTTGGAGCTCGTTGATTTGTTTCTGAAGTAGGCAAATGGCGCCGGCGCAGCCGTAAACCGGGTCGCGTAGTCTCGCGTTGGCTTCGTAAACCATGCTGCTCACGGCATCTGCCCTTTGACACTCGGGAAGCTCCTGAAATCAAATCAAATTAATGTGCGAATGTTGGAAAACTATTTGATCAAATTGAACTGAGACTATGTTCGGTAAACCTAGTCGATAAGCTAGTTTATAGCTTTTAAGTGAGTTTTGAGTTTATAACTGATAGCTGATGACTTATGACTGAAAAACTAGTTTGTATGATAGAAGTGTTCGATAAAATTAGTTGTATCAATTGTGTTTGGTGGTCTCATCAACAGCTAGTGACTGTGATTAAGTAGAAAACGTGTTTTGACCATCATTAAAAAATATGGACAAATTGAGATGACTAGTTTAACTTGATAGTGAAAAAATGCACGTACGTACTATATCTCATCATTATTGAACTTTATTTTTTTAAAACTTGTTATTATGACCATTAATTAATATGCAAACATTTTCCTTTTTATTGGTAGTGTCAATTTAAAGAGGTGCCTACTTCCATTGACCTTAGATCCACATATCAATTTCCATTTGAAAATTTATTAATAGAAACCCAATTTACATGAACTATTAAAACAATGAAAATTGATAATTTGAAAGAAAAAAAAAAAGTTCACCTACATGCTTTTTCTTTTTTAGTAATAATTTCTCCTTTTTAAAATAATTTCAGTCGATCTCACGAAGTTATAACTCTATCACGTCCACATATCTCACGACATTAACGTGCGCGTTACGCGTCCATATTTGCGAATGATTGTATGGTCAAGAAGTAGGCGAGCGTGCAAATTATGAATGTTGATCAAGTTCAAGTTGCAATTTACAAAGAAAAATACCATAAATTGCATATTCCAAAAACGTGTATATGGACAACGGTAATAAATTTGTTTGATAAAATGTATATATATATTTTTATTTTTAATAAATTATTATTATTTATTATAGTGATACCATACCTGGAGCAGCTTGATAATGTTGCTAGCCCCAAAGACCCGATGGGCAATGGTGAACTTGAGTGGGTCGGTCGGCGGGAAATAAGGCGCGAGCACACAGTTATCGACACACCGCCGGCGGAGGATCTTGCAGGCGGCGCATGGGCTCACAACCGCCGGAAAAGATAACGGAGATGATAGAGAAGAAGACTCCGTCACACCTCTACTGGGCTTAATCTCTCCGCACTTTTCCATATTTACGAATATTTAATTTGGGCTGTGCGAAATTTAGTGTGGCGAAAGTGAAGCTTTTATAGCAAAAGTCCCGCCGCGCTGGAGAAGTCACACGACTCAAAATCTTCATTTTATATTTTATTTTTTTTCCTATTTATTTTTTCGTTAACATTTTATTTTATTTATTTGACGTATGGATTATATTTAAGGAAGATTCTACGGTCCTGTTACGGAATCATTCTATCGAAATTTGTAACTGTTACATGATGATCTAACGGTTACAAATGTTGATAAAATGATTCTTAATGAGACGGTAGCATTTTCCTATATTTAATGAATAGAGTATATTGAAGTCAAGTGTGAACAGAGTATGAAATGTGGGATTGGTTTTCAATGTTTTGCGTTACTTGTTGCCTTTATTTTATGGTTATTTCAAGCTCACATTATACATTCTTTTGTAATTTTAAAATGGCATTTTTTTTTAATAAGTTGGCGATGTGTAATTTTTTATTTATTAAATATTATTATTATTATTCTTATAATTTGTGATACCTAATCAATATCTAAGCGTGTGTCCCACTTTTCAGAATAAGTCAACGTACATGTATGCATAGTTTTTAAACCCGGTAATCGACTCGGATAGGTCTCTAGGTCACCGAGTCACCGGTTCAACCGTCAGGTGATCGGGTCAATTGCTGAACCGAATAATTAATTTTAAAATTTTAGAAATTATATATAGATTATTCTGTCATATAAATATACATAAAAGTAACAAAATTAAATGTTTTGTAAGTAAAAATTTGTAGATTAAAGTGGTAATAATATGTATTTCATGATAATATTTACTATATAAATATATATATACATAGTTTTATTTTTTTAAAACAAAAAAATAAAAAAATATATATAGGGACTGGGTCAACCGGGTTGACTTAGTCGGGTCAATGACCGGGTCGACCTGGTCAATGCCGGGTTGGCCGTTTGATCGGGTTTGACAGGGTCCTTAGTTGTCCGGTCCAATTAGTCCACCCGGACCGGTTTCGGCTCCGGGTCGACCGGGTCACGGGTCAACCCGTCGAGCTGGTCCAGGTTGAAAAAAGTGCATGGATGTATAGTTAGAAAAATAATTTATAGATTTTAATATGATTTATGCAGACTAATTACATTTGAAATATATATATATATACACACACATATATATAATAGTGTTAAGTGAAAAAAATAAGAATAAATCTTATCCATCAAATTGTACAATCTAATGCCTGAAAAAAAAAAAAAAAAA